GTCGAATAAGTAGAGTTAAAGAGTTCAATATGACCTGCAGTTGCAACTGTGTATATTGTTTAATTTAAACTTTAATTGAGCTAGGAAAGAAGCTCCCTAATTTGGGTTATCAACCTAGTCCCATATACTACTCAAAATGAGCTTCAATCTTAGCTCAGTATACTATTAATTTTCAGGATGCGAAATCAACTTTTGCTTCTCGTTGTCGATTATGACACAATTCGGTCAACAACTTCGTCTTTAAGGTATACTAAAGCTTGAGAGTTAGACATCTAGTCTGAAATTTGTTTTATATCGCAATAGTAACATTCGTTAGGGCAATAGAGGGGTCACTTACTCATTTGTGCAGCCCTTTGGTTCACCATTGGTGGTTAAGTTCTCGTATAAATCTTAATGTTCTAGTCGATGGAGAGATTCAATATTTCATTAGGCGATAAAAATGTGCCGGCCCTAATACAATTCAAAGAATCTACAGAATCCCATCTCATTTTTGCCAAGAATGTCCTGGTGATATCTAAGTCCAAATTATCCGTTATATAGTCGCGTTAATTATCTTGTTAAGGGGCAAAAGCTTTTGTTATTTACCCTTTGTCAGCGTTATGAAGTCTTTTGCCTCTCTGAGTCCTAATATTGACTCGCACTAATGAAGAAATTAGGAGTCAACATAAGAACCATATTTTTCCCCAATGTATCTTTAGGGAATAGCAAATAATGTTTATTGTCCAATAAATGGGCTCGGTGCATTTCTTTTTTCCAAACAATTTACTTCTTGTTTGTCTTCACTTCGCTATATCCTCTCTTTTAAGGTCTGTTGTATTTCAACTGGTCAGACATTTTGTTCGAAATTGTTTTGTGCCATATCGTTCAAACAAATCTTATCAACAGGAAATATTTGTGGAAATGTTAAGCTTACTTCCTTTGACAAAACTAGTACGACTTAAATCCAGAGTATATTGGATCAAGCATGTATACAATTTTGTGGGTCCCAAGACCGATAGCTCTATGTCGTACAAGCAGACAGACAAAATCAATAATCGTTTAGTTGTCTTATTGACAGGAATTCAAGAACATTCCAAACCTGTATATTACAATATCTTACAATCCTACCCATTGTGTGCTAAAGAGGATCTTGGTTACATAACGTAAACATATTTATTAAATCGGCAACACTTTTAAGACCAGTTACTCTAATATAATATTCATATTTCTTATTTTCAACACCCTGTACTGTAAATGCAACCAAATAGCAACGTAAAGGCGTCGAACATGGATATTTCGTAAATAATATTTGCGGTATGCCTCACGCAACCACAATATACTTCGTAAACCAAACAGACAGACAGACAGCTTTCATATTGTTAGTGAAACTGACAGACAGTCAGGCAGTCTAGCTTACAGGCCGACTTAAAAATGTAATGGGTTTCAATTACAAACATTTTTATTTCACAATCAAATGTTGGACTAATCTGGTTAAAAAGACGGTTAATTTCAAATTTTATAAATAAAACTAAATTTGCAAATTTTTAAAACTTACCTTGAATTTAGTTTTGTAGTTAGATTTATAGTTTTTCCTAAATAAAATTATAAACCATATAAAAATGGTTAAAAAAATAAATATTTTAGAATTTAATTAAAAAAGTTTTTGTTCTTTCTTTTTTTAAGAGTTTTCAAAATTTAAAAAGATAATTTTTTATGAAAACTTAAAATTTTTTGTTTATTTTTAGAACTTTAAAAAAAAACATTTAAAAGTATTAAATAATTATTTTTTTTTTTGTTAAGAAATTTTCAAATATTTAATGTATCTTTAGAATAAATAAAACTAAAAAGAAATAAATTTAAGTTTTTTTTTTTTTTATTTATATTTGTATTCAACACACTTGAACAAGAAACAAAATGCAACTGAAAGTTGGCCACAATCGTTTTTAGCATTCAAGCGATTCCCATTCATTATTAACAAACAAAATGTATAAAACTTTTGTTAATGTTGTATAAAATAATAATAAAAACAACTACAACAAACGCAACAAGTCAAGAAGTAGAAACTACAAAGACAACAGCAACAATAATAACATAAAAATTAACTCTAATAATTTTTATAATGTACCATTTTAAAAACAATAACAATTGTTAAAAAGAATTCTCTTTAGAGTTTAAACTAAAGTTTAAAAAAAAATAAAAACCAACTAGAAAAAATAACATCATTAATATGTGACTTTTGGTAATAATGAACCAAAATATAAATGAAAAAACTAACGAAGGGGACTAGACTGTAATAATGTAGTAAATACTAGCTGACGAATGAATTATTAAAACAAAAACAATCTAAAAATTAAGCCGTAGAGAGAGAGCATGAGAACACTAACTAACAGATAGTTTAAGAGAGCAGTAGTTTAAATTTGTTAAATGTATAATGTAAATGACCTATAAAACCGGGTACTAAAAAGATTAAGCCGAAATAAAATTGCTGCATTTTATTTCGTTTAATTTATTTTAGTTTTTGCAGTTTCCTAAACTCGTTAAAGATATATTTGAAATCTTAATAAAAATACCAATAAAAATTAATGTTTATTGAGGTACTACGATGATTTTGGGCAAATTTAAAAGGCGAAGATAAATTGTGTTAACTGGTTTAAAATCTTTTTAAAAAAATTAGCACAGATAGCAATCAGCACTTCCTTAGCCACACTGATTTTGTTTACTAGGGGAAATGATATGATTTAATGGCTTCAAAGAAATGAGATATGTATGTATAGTAATTGGACAATTGACTCTATTTGGAATTATGTCACTTTAATTATACCCTTCACCTTGGTGAGAATTGCATGTATATAAGTTTTCCTATTCCAAATATATTTAAATAATTATATTCCAAGTACTCTTAGAAAGCGAATTTAAAATTCAGCATCTATATTTTCTATAATTTTATAAGATTGATGGATCTACCTATCTATCTATCTATCTATCTATCTATCTATCTATCTATCTATCTATCTATCTATCTATCTATCTATCTATCTATCTATCTATCTATCTATCTATCTATCTATCTATCTGTCTATCTATCTATCTTTCTATCTTTATATCTATCTATCTATCTATCTATCTATCTATCTATCTATCTATCTATCTATCTATCTATCTATCTATCTATCTATCTATCTATCTATCTATCTATCTATCTATCTTTCTATCTTTATATCTATCTATCTATCTATCTATCTATCTATCTATCTATCTATCTATCTATCTATCTATCTATCTATCTATCTATCTATCTATCTATCTATCTATCTATCTATCTATCTATCTATCTATCTATCTATCTATCTATCTATCTATCTATCTATCTATCTATCTATCTATCTATCTATCTATCTATCTATCTATTTATCTATCTATCTATCTATCTATCTATCTATCTATCTATCTATCTATCTATCTATCTATCTATCTATCTATCTATCTATCCATCTATCTATCTATCTATCTATCTATCTATCTATCTATCTATCTATCTATCTATCTTTCTATCTTTATATCTATCTATCTATCTTCAATCAATTCCAATTATAAATGTTATTTAACAAACCTTTCACAAACAAAAGTAATTTTCAAAACATGAAATAAAAGAACTTACCAGATTTTAAATTCGAAATGGGTGTGCTTAGATCATGCACCAAATTTAGCACATTTAAAGTACACACTAAAATGTACTTAATTTGCTTTAATCACAATAAAATAAATCTCATAAGTTTATTCCCTTCACTTACGGTTTTTGTTTTATTTTTTCTATTTCAAATTTATTTTCGATTTTTTTTTTTTTTCGTTTTTGCATTGTTGTTAGTACTTTATTTTCGAAATTACATACGTTACGCTATACAACCGCAAAATATATACTTTTCAAAAAATGTTAAAGTTAAAACAAGCTTGTAGTGATACGTGTACTCCTCCTACTTCTATGTTTTTAAGTTAAAAAGTTATCAGCAAGAAAATCGTCTGCCTCAACGTAAAGAAAAACTAATAATAATGAAAAACAAAAAGTGAGAAGATGTATGGTAGGAAACAGAATTTCTCAATGCTTTGTATAAGGAAAATAATAAACATTTTAAATAAGTAAATTTATATTTTCGATTTGGTAAACTCTGGTTTAAACGTTAAACAATTGAAATTCCAATAACTTGTGGTAAATAGTTTAAAAGTGAATTATTTAAGCATGAACTTTGCTTTAGTTTAAATTGAGTTTTTTGTTGTTGTTTTTATGTATATGCAAGTACTAGCAAGTAAATGTACATAAACATTTTGTACTGTTGTAATTTAGAGAAGGTGTAGTTAGTTAATTTATTTCGCAGGGAGTTTATACAAAATATGTTTTAGAGCGAATGAAGATTTTAACAATTGGATTAGCAGTATTTCGTGCTAAATATTTAGAATTGCTATTACATAATGAATGTTTTAAATTTGTAAAAGAGAATTCATCGTGAACATAATCGAATTAATTTTGAAATTGGAAAAATAAAAATAATAATTAAATAACTAAAATTACTTCAAAAATAAAAGCTTTAAACATTTTTTCGAATATAAACCTTTAAAATTGCGAACATAACTAAAAGGCTTTTTGAAAATTGTTATAATTTTTTGCCCAGGGATGCACGTCCAATCACCGCCAATCTATTACAACAACAACTTAGCCAATCTGAACAAGAAACGTACTGTAAACAAAGCCAACTATTAACATAGATAAGAGGTAAAAATCCATCAACTTATTGCAGGATATGAAGGAGAAGCATTTATTTACAGCAATTTTAAGTTTGGCTGATTGGCTTATAGAGTGCTAAAGCTACTCTTCGCACATCATTTCAGGGAGCATTTTTTTAATCTACCTAAGACTAGCTGGCAATGACCCGTAACATTTTTAAAGATGATGAAGTGTTCATACTGCTAAACTAGACAGCTCAGTATGTGCTACTTATAGTATTATGTATTTTAAACATTAAACTTACCCAGAATTCATTTTCTTAAAGATCTTCCAAAGATCCATTCCATGAAGAAAAGTCAGCGGTGTTTGATGTTTTTTTTTTTAAGTCACACATTTACATCACTGCAAAATAAGTTTTTTTAATTTGTATCCCTCGAAAACATTAAAAAGTCCATAAAAACATTCAAAACTCTTTAAATTCTTGTTAAATTTTCCAAATATCTATTACAATGCATTTTTACAACAACAATCCTTAATTTTCCCCCCCTAATGTTTGACACAAGATCACAGGGTAGGCAAGATATATTAATTATAGCTTGGTTTGACATATAGAAATTATAACGGTAATATATTTACATTATAAAACAACCATGGTAAATTACAAAACACACAAACAACCATATACATTTTTACGCCTACGCTTTCGTAAAATAGACATTTTACACAAAATTCACTTAAAAATTTATATTTCCAACATTTATTTATCATTCAATAAATAATTAATTTTATTTAGTTTAATTATACCCTTAATTTATGTTATTTTTATTTATCGATGCTAAAAATATAAACCACTACCATTTGATTTGTTTACAAATACCTTTTTAAGCAACTCTTATGCTAAATTGACATTTTTTTCTTTTACTGGGCAGGGTGCACTTATAAGGTGAAGTCAATTCTACAAAAACAACAAAAGTAGATAAGATACTAGGGTTCTATAAATCGACTTTCGAATAATCGAACAATCGACTTTTTGTCGAAAAAAGTCGAAAAGTCGAAGTCGACTATTTTGTTCCAAAAAAGTCAATAAATCGACTATCGTCTATGAAAAAAGTCGAAATGTCGACTTTGTAAATAAAAGTCGAAAAGAGTCGAAAAAAGTCGAAAAAAAGTCGAAAAGTCGGAAAAAGTCGAAAAGTCGGAAAAAGTCGAAAAGTCGAAAATAGTCGAAAATTTTAAAAAAAGTGGAAAAGAGGTCAAAAACTCTAAAATAGTCGGAAAAACTCGAAAAAAATAAAAAAATAGTCGAAAAAAGTCGAAAAAAAGTCGAAATAAGTCGAAAATAGTCAAAAAGTCGTAAAAAATCGAAAAGTCGAAAAGTCGGAAAAAGTCGAAAAGTCGAAAAGTCGACCATTTATAAAATACTAAAAGTCGAAAAGTCTAAAAGTCGACTTTTAAATAAATGAAAAAGGTCGAAAAGTCGAAAAATCGACTTTTCATAAAATGGAAAAAGTCGAAAGGTCGAAAAGTCGACTTTTAACTAAATGCAAAAAGTCGAAAAGTCGACTTTTCGTTTCAACTATAGAACCCTATAAGATACTTCTGTCAAAAAATTTACCGTGTTTTTTTAATTTACCTTAGAAAAAAACAATCCCACATGCCCAAAAATCTCTTTACGTAAAGTAAATATGTATTATAAGATAAAATTTATTAAAAATTATACATGAATTGAAAAATAGAATATTATTTATTATTTACTTATTAAAAAAGTAAATAAATTATCAATTAAAATAACAAAAAATTAGTATTAGATTATAAAATTGTAAGTATGTAGTAGCAAAAATACAAATTATATACATATTATTTTTTATCAGTCAATATTGGGAACTTATAATACCGTGTAGATCTCTACCATTGTCGTATAAGAAATATATAATGATCTTTATAGAAATGTGACCAAACCACTACCATGGAAAGTTGTTAAAAATTAAGATATCTATGATAAAATCAAGTTTTAATAATTTTATTTACAATTGTGGATGTTTGTACTCTCAATTGATTAGTAAAAAGTTTCCTATAATTGATAAAATAGATGCATATTTAAGACAAATAGTTTGTGCAATTTTTGAGTATTTCGCATAAATTTACTACGGATTAAAATGATTATAAAATTTATTTATTAATTTTTTGCTCTAAAAATATAATGAATCCCTAGAATGAATTCTGGCAACTCTCAAAATAAAAAAAAATGATCAGCTGTTGAATTGACTTCACCTTATGAGTGCACCCTGTTACTGGGTTTACACAGCCAGACGTCGTTGTTGATTACTTGCACATTTGCAAACTGTCAAAAAACAAGCTAAACTAAAAGAAGAAAGAAGAAAAAAATTCTGCTGTGTTGTTTCGAAAAAGAAGCAGCAAAAAATTATTGCAAATTTTTTAAGTAAAAACCATATTAAAAGGTAAGTTTTGTGTGAAATATTATAATAAAGATAAAAAACTAAAAATTCGTATGCAAATTATTAGCATGGATCGTTTATTACGTTTGGGGCGGCGCTATGCCTCAAGCTCCACCACCAACTGATGCTCCTGTAGTGGATACTGCTGAACAAGTTTACATTTCCTCTTTGGCTCTATTGAAAATGTTGAAACATGGTCGTGCTGGTGTACCCATGGAAGTTATGGGCCTTATGTTGGGTGAATTTGTCGATGATTATACCGTGCAAGTCATTGATGTCTTTGCTATGCCTCAGACGGGTACCGGTGTTTCGGTAGAAGCTGTAGATCCTGTATTTCAAGCCAAAATGTTGGATATGTTAAAACAGACTGGCCGTCCCGAAATGGTGGTAGGTTGGTATCACTCTCATCCTGGTTTTGGTTGTTGGTTATCCGGTGTCGATATAAATACTCAACAGTCATTCGAGGCTTTATCCGAGAGAGCCGTTGCCGTAGTAGTAGATCCCATACAATCGGTTAAGGGTAAAGTTGTTATAGATGCCTTCCGTTTAATCAATCCCAATATGTTGGTATTGGGTCAAGAGCCTCGACAAACCACCTCCAATTTGGGCCATTTACAAAAACCTTCAGTGCAGGCTTTGATACATGGTCTAAATCGCCATTACTACTCGATAAGTATCAATTATCGTAAAAATGAATTGGAACAGAAAATGTTATTGAATCTACACAAAAAATCCTGGAAGGATGGTCTTACTCTGGAGGATTACAATGAACACTGTTCGATAAATGAGAATACAGTACAAGAAATGTTGGAATTGGCTAAGAATTATAATAAGGTATGTTTTGTCTTTTGAAAAGGAAAAATAAAACAAACATTAATTTGGATTTTTTGTTACTTTTAGGCCTTGGAGGATGAAGAGAAAATGACTCCCGAACAGTTGGCCATTAAAAATGTGGGCAAACAGGATCCTAAACGTCATTTAGAGGAGAAAGTTGATAAGGTTATGCAAAATAACATTGTTCAATGTTTGGGTGCTATGCTTGATACTATTGTTTTCAAATAATTTATGCATTTATTTTTTGCAAAACAAAATTTTCTTAAGGCCTTGAAGGCTTATTTTCTTATTTTCTAATCTTTTGTAATAACGAACAGCAAACAAAAATATGAAACACACAAAAGAATTAAGCATATTTTAAACTTTAATTTAAATAAAAACAAAGAAATTATTTTATAAATTTGTAGTTTAAAAATTGTGTTAGTCTTCTATGGGTACAATTGCTTCTATATATGTACTTGTTCTGTCGCACACATAAATAGGGAAGTAATGGATTTGTGTCGATTTGTGGTCTGTTTTTTGTTTTCTGTAAGCCCTTAATATCTTCGGGTACAAATCATTTTTGATCAATCTTCCAGATATGCTTTAGACATGTTTTCTATTTAAAACCAGCAAAATAGGTCCCCAAATAACGAAAAATATTATTTGAAATATCATGGTCTGTGTGAGTTATAGATAAGCCAGTCCAACCATTACAGATAGCGATGATTTAGCGAAGCCATTTGAACTTTCTAAAGATCCAAGATATCATTAGGATATAAATCAAGAATAATTACATTTGACATGTTTTCTAGATCTTTGATATAAACAAAATCGGTACATAAATATCTGATATATAAAAACTTCGAAAAAAGTTATTTTAAATTAAAAGCTAATCATTATGTATAACAAACTCTATAAAAACTTTGTTAAATACTTTATTTTACATTTTTGTATGTTTTAGTTTTTTATATTACTTATGAACTCTAGAAATCGCAAAAATATAAAACTTTCCTAATACCACACACATTTCACAATTCCTACATGAAAACCCTACATTTTGTACTAAAATTTTGCAACTCTGTTGCTTAACATGAATAGGAAAAAAATTTGACAACTAATTGTCAAATATCATTAAAAGAAAAAAAGTCGTGTAATTGATTGATTAAATTGCTTTTTTTTAATCATTTGGTGAAATTTTTCCTCTTAATCTCTTTAATAAAAATTAAATCTACAAAATAATGGGCTTATTAGGAGGACGCAACATATCGCTGGCATTTTGCATATGCATAGCCTTTGTCTTGATTGGCAGCATAAATGTAGAGGCCGAAAAAGAAATACCGACAACAAAGTTTGGACAAAATGTTGGGGGACCCACCATGACTTTCTTATATTGGTAATTTTTACCACAAAACACAAAATTAAAAAAAAAACAATGAACAACATTTTTAAAATTTCAGCTATTCCTGTGGCTATCGCAAAGCTTTTGAGGATTATGTTAACATACTATCAGAGAAATATCCACAGATTTCAGTGACAGGTGGCAATTATGATCCACCCGGCATGAATATGTATTTCTCGAAATTGATATTTGCTGTGAAAATCTTACTCATTGTTGTGATAGTATCATCTTTTGATATATTTGGAGCTATTGGCCAAGCCACTCCCAGCTGGTGGCGTCATTTGCTGGACAATAAGTTGTATGCCTGTATGATGATATTTTTCGTAGGCAATATGTTAGAAGGCCAGGTGGGTTTATACAAAAAAAAAAAACACTTATCTATTTATTTACCTTTGTGATAACAAAATTATAACTATCTTTTAATTGTATTACTACTTTGCTTATCTTTTTTTTTAGTTGGTTTCTTCCGGAGCCTTTGAGATTTCATTAAATGATGTGCCTGTTTGGTCAAAACTACAAACTGGTCGTATACCCGCTCCCCAAGAGCTTTTCCAAATCATCGACAATCAACTGCAATTTGGCGATAAAATTCAAGAAAATCCCGAATTTGTGAAATAATAATTAACTTGTAGCTGCGCTTGCAAAACAGCACATTTGTAACAATTTTTAAGACTTCATCAGCAAATTTATCAAAAGAAATTGTATTTTGTTTATTTTTTTTTAATGTTTAGACTTAGGTTTAAATGCAAATATTTCTTTAGACCCTCTTCCTAGTGTCTGTTGTAAAGGAAGTGTAAACTTACGTTTTAACATTAAAGATTTGTAACTTTTCAGTTTTCTCCCATTTTTAGTTAAATTTTTCTTATCAAACCTTTATTGTTCCTTGTAACTGTAATTTTTAAAACGTATTAAACATTATAAATCATTTTACCCTTTTTTGTAAAATAAATAGTTAAAATAATGGGATTAAGTTTAAAATGTTGTTTTGGATTTTTGTTAACGAAATCGAAAATAAAAGATAATAAAAGAAAATTAAATAGAGGAATATCGAATAAAGGGTACGAATGGTATTTTTGAAGGAAAGGACTAAATTCAACTTGACATTTATGAATTTAAAGGCTGGTAAGATCATCTCATCTTAATCTTGAGTTTTTTTTTAAATTTTCAGAATATTTGAATGCAATTTCTGAATTTAAGCTTTTTAGTTATATTCGATAAATCGAAGTTAAGTTCGAAAAATTATGAGGATTGATAAAACTTTTTTAGTTTTATTTGAGAACTTTTTCTAAATTTTTTGTAATTTCGAACTGGAGAATTTTGAAATAAATTTTCAAATTTTCGAAAAAATTTAATTTCGAAAACATAAAATTAAATTCGAAAATCTGTAAAAATATTATTTTAGTTTTATTTGAAACCAATTTCGAATTTGAGGATTTTAAAAATGGAAGAAATTAAATTCGATAATGTTTTGTTAGAAAATTATCTAAATCTCTTTAAATTTTCAAATTTAGAGTTTCAGAAAATAATGTTTGAAAATTCCAGAGAATTTATATAAAATACTAATTTAGTTTAATTTGGGACCAACTTTGAAACTTTTTTAATTTCGAACTCAAAGATTTTGAAAATTTAGAAATTTTCATAATTTTTAATTTAAAGCATTTCTCAACATATCGGAATTTAGACGTTTTAGTAATGTTCGAAAATTCGAATTCGAAAATATTCGGATTTTCTTAAAATTTGCACGATTTATAAAACATTTTTCTATGTAATCAGAATTTAAGTTTTTTAGTGATTTTCGAAAATTCGAACTTATATTCGAAAATTTTCGAAAACTCTTAAAATTTTCTTTAAAACATGAAGGTTAATAAAATTATATTCTCGGTATTATTTGAATATAATTTTAAACACTTTTGCATTTTCGAACTTAAGGATTTTAAAAATTTTCATGAATTTTGAAATAATATTCAAAATCTTCAAATTAAATGCCAAAAATTCAAGAATATTAAAAAAAAATACATTGTTTCATAATTTTAACTTATTAGTGATGCTCGAAAATACGAAACCGAATTCTAAGTTAGGTTTGAAAATTTTCAAAATCTCTTAAAATTATGAAAATTCATAAAACTACAATTTTAGTTCTATTTGAGAACAATTAGCAAACTTTTGAAATTTCAAACGTTATACTTTGTTTCAAACATTAGGATTTCGAAAATACTTTTAAAATTTTAATGGATTTTCAGAATATAAGCCTTTAAAGACATGTTCGAAAATTCGACCATAAGTTCGAAATTTTTAAAAGAGTAGAATTGTTTTGTTGATTTGGAAAAAATTGATTTCTTTTGTGTAAAACCTTTAGTGAAAAATCAGTTATTTTAAATTTTTTTTATTATTATTTATTGTATATCTTTCTTTTGTTGTTACTTAAGTTTAAACACTAAACATTAGATTTATTACAAAAAACATATTAAAAAAAGAATTTCATAAATTCGTTTAAATGGCAGATAAGAGAATGTTGTTGTTGTTGTTGTTCGATTAAATTTTCTTTTTATTTCACATATTTTAGTTTTATTAAAAAAAAAAATGCTTGGAAATAAGCAAATTTTAATTATTTTTGGTATTCGTTTACTTAATATTTATAAGAATATTAATTATTATTATGTATACGTAAATATTATTATAAAACATTAATTATTTCTTATTTTGTTTCTTGCATTTAATTAAATTTATCTCTTCTTCACTTTTTATTTATTTATATATATTTAAGGAAACGGTTTAAATTGAACTTTCAACTGGTGTGCAGTACGAGAATAAAAAATACATTAACTGGGACTTCTTAAAACACTGGGAGAGAGGGAGCACGAGAGGAAGACAAAATTTATTAATAAGTAGGAAGAGAGCATGGTGGGGGAGTGGAGAAAAAAAACTACAGATGTTTGTATTATAACTGCTAGTTGTTGAATCTCTATGATGAGTTCTTAATACAAACTTGACATCTTGAGACCTTTTGTAGCAGATTGCCAGCCTTAAGGGTCTCCATAGCGGGTCTTTGGAATTGTTGGTATTCTTCCATAGTGACCATCCAGAAACTGGACATGGTCTCGTAGAAGTGGCAGTGACCTTTGCCGCCGTTACACTCAATGAAGGGTGTGGTGCGGAAATCTTGTAAGCAGGAACCAGGTGAGGACATATCTTGACCACCACCTCCATTACCTGCGGCAGTGTGCTGAAATATAAATTATATCGTTAAATAGAAATACACAAATTGTCGGATATATGAGATATGAGAAACTCACCATCATGAAACTGTAACCGATCCAGAGACCTTCCCAACCATTTGGACAGCTTGGAATGTCTAAAGATTGACTGTGAATGGAAATGACATTTGATGGAGCCTCGCATACGGTACAACGAGAAATGTAGTTGCTGACATCTTGAGCTGGAACTGGCATCATTGGCAAAGGTGCCGATGTGGTCAACCAGAATGATTTATCGTTTCTGGAGGCATAGTTGCAAATATTGTTGGCACCGCAAGAGAGTACGGGCAGAGTAGAGAAGCGACGTACACAAGAACCGGGGGAACCCAAATCTTGGTTGTGGGCATAATCGTTACCATCGACGTACATGAGAGAATAACCAGTCCACAATTCAATGTGGCCAGGTTCGCAACGTGGTACTTCTTCGGATTGACTGTGTTTGACCAATAAAATGCCGGTAAGATAATCTTGGGCAGCAGTGCAAGGGGCACCAGGTTCACCCTTAGGACCGAGAGCACCGGGAAGACCTTCGCGACCCATGGGACCAGGAAGACCTTGATCACCCTTCATACCGGGACGTCCAGTGGGACCAGTAAGACCAATTAAACCTTGATCACCCTTTTCACCGCGTTCACCTTGCAAGCCAATCAAACCACGAGGACCAGGAGCACCACGTTCACCCTTTTGACCGTCTCTACCAGGATAACCAGGTTCACCTTTAGGACCGGGAGGAGGTACCATACCAGGTTCACCTTTATCACCCTTAGTACCAGGTTTACCATCGCGACCGTTAATACCAGCAGGACCAGGATAACCCTTTTCACCGGGAGCGCCAACAGGACCAGGCAAGCCATCGAGACCACTCATACCCATATCACCCTTCATACCAGCACGACCAGGTAGACCAGGGGCACCAGTGAAACCTAAATCACCCTTTCACCCTTTTGTCCTTGGAAGCCAGGAGGACCCATTTCACCCTTAGGACCGGGATAACCCATATCACCCTTAATACCTTGAACACCGGGCATACCGTCATGACCATCTCTACCAGGTTGACCTACTAAACCGCGATCACCTTTAGGACCTTGGGGACCAGGAACACCAGGAGGACCATGGCACCAGGAGTACCTGGAAGACCAGGCAAACCCTTGTCACCCTTAAGACCAGCAGGACCAGGAGCACCTTAAAAAAAATAAACGTTAGGAATGCTAATTGGGCCGAAACTTCCTGAAACTTACCTTCACGTCCATTTTACCAGTACGGCCAGGCAAACCCTTTTCACCCTTAATTGTCAAACCAGGAGCACCAACATCACCTCTGGGACCCATATCACCCTTCATGCCGGGGAGACCATTCAAACCAGGAGCGCCAGGTGGACCAGTCATACCGCGATCACCTTTAGGACCATTGAAACCAGGTGCACCTTGATTACCCTTAAGACCCATAGGACCAGGCAAACCAATTAAACCAGCTTCACCCATTTCACCCTTGTCACCCCTGATGGTGAAAGGTTTAGCATCTAAACCAGCGGGACCAGTCAAACCACGTTCACCCTTAGGACCAGGAGCGCCAGCGAAACCAGGTAAACCTGGTTCACCTCTTTCACCCTTGGCACCATTGATACCGGAATAACCACGTTCACCCTTGTCACCCTTAAGACCCATGTAACCAACTGGACCAGGAGCGCCGACTTCACCGGGTTTACCATCCATACCAGGAGCTCCGGGAACACCAGGAAGACCCATTTCACCCTTAGCACCCTTGGCTCCCATAAGACCAGGCAAACCTTGGTCACCCTCATACCTTGGGCACCATCACGTCCATTCATACCATCACGACCACGATCACCCTTCTCACCAGGAAGACCGGGACGTCCGTGCATAGCAATACCAGCAACACCCTTTTCACCTTGCATACCAGGAGCGCCAGGAAGACCATCTTCACCGCGTAGACCAGGTGCGCCAGGTTCACCCTTTTGACCCTTTTCAGAAGCATCACCAGGTTCACCACGAGGACCCATTTCACCAGTGAAACCACGATCACCCTTTTCACCATCAAGACCGGGAATACCGTCAGCACCGGGGGGACCAACTGGACCTAAATCACCCTTAACACCCATCAAACCAGGAGGGCCAGGAGGACCTCTAGGACCAGTCAAACCATCCCTACCAGTTAAACCACGTTCACCTCTGTCACCCTTGGCACCTATATACAACATAATTAGGATGATGAATTAAAATAGTTTTCCAATCTTTATGTAACTTTAAATTACTTACCGGGAATACCAGCTGGACCAGGAGGACCACGTTTACCAGGTTGACCGGTAACACCGGGGGAACCTTTGGGACCATCATTACCAGGAGCACCGCGTTCACCCTTCAAACCAGGCATACCGACCAAACCGGGATTACCAGGTTCACCCTTTGCACCATCACGACCTTGTACACCATCAACACCAGGAATACCGGGAGGACCTTGTGGACCGGGGGGACCAATTGGACCCATATCACCCTTGGCACCATCAACACCAGGCATACCAGGGGCACCAGGATAACCAGCATCACCCTTGTCACCAGGATAACCAGGAGGACCGTCTTTACCGGGGGGACCATAATTACCAGTGGGACCACGTTCACCTTCTCACCGGGTTAAACCAGGACGACCTTGAGGACCACGAGGACCAATACCAGCAATACCCATTTCACCCTTTTGACCAGGAGCACCAGTTCTACCGGGAGGACCATTGAAACCATCTTTACCGGGGTTACCAGGAGCACCAATTGGACCTTGGTTACCCTTTTCACCACGAGGACCAGTCAAACCACGAGCACCAGTTGGACCTACTGGACCTTGTGGACCGCGTTCACCTTTCTCGCCAGGTCTGCCAGCATCACCCTTTATACCTTGAACACCTTGTGGGCCAGGATTCCTTGAAGACCGCGATCACCCTTGTTGCCTTTAGCGGGTACTGAAGCATATCAACAGCACAGGAGCCAGGTTCGCCCTTTTCACCTTGGGGTCCAGAGAAACCTTTGTCACCCTTGGCACCATCAAAACCGGCACGACCAGTGTCACCCTTAATGCTTTGACCAGGAATACCATCAAGACCATCTCTACCGGGAGTACCAGGAGTACCGTCAGAGCCGGGAGGACCCATAAAACCTTTGTCACCCTTGGCTCCCATTTCACCTTTTTCTCCGTTTCTGCCGGGTTCACCTCTTTCACCACGTTCACCCTTAAGACCAGCGGGACCAGGATAACCACGTTCACCCTTGTCACCTTTCTCAGCTTCGATTTGGTTCAAGTCAATAAGAGCATCTTTACCAGGGGGACCATATGGACCAGGGGCACCAGGAAGACCATCTTTACCCTTTTCACCAGGAGCACCGGGAGGACCGGCAATACCATCAGCACCGCGTTCACCAGGATAACCACGTTCACCAGGAGGACCACGAAGACCAGGTTGACCAGGAGCGCCATCAACACCGCGTTCACCTTTGTCACCCTTTTGACCATAAGGACAGCTTGAGCATTTACCACCAATATCACCTTTAGGACCCATGTCACCTTTTTGACCGGGGGTACCAGGACGACCGGCATCACCCTTTTGACCAGGGGCACCAATACGACCAGGAGTACCAGGACGACCTAATTTGGAGTCACCAGGAGCACCGACATTACCAGGGAAACCGCGTTCACCCTTTTGACCCTTTGCGCCTGGCATACTAATTAAATTTTAAAACAACATTGTAACAATCACGCATTAAAGTCAAACATAAGAATAAGGTTAATATTTACCCAGGAATACCATCATCACCCTTAAAGCCTCTTTCGCCATAGCCAGGAAGACCAGCCTCACCCTTTTGACCTTTCAGGACCTGGTGGACCAGTGTGACCAGTAGGGCCTTGAGGACCCATTGAACCTTCACGACCTGGATTACCTTTCTCACCCTTTTCACCGGGAGGACCTTCAACACCATTGTGACCAGGAACACCGGGACCACCTTTAGCACCAGGCAAACCTTGGGGACCAGGAGGACCATCAAAACCATCCAAACCTTTAGGACCGGGAGCACCAGTGTAACCACGAGGACCTTTAGGACCAGGAGCGCCAGGGGAACCACGGCCACCACCGGGGGGACCAGGAGGACCAACAAGACCACGTTCACCAGGTTGACCGGGACGACCAGGTTCACCCTTTTGACCGGGTTTACCAGGCAAGCCATTCAAACCAGTATCACCACGATCACCCTTTTGACCGGCAGGACCAGGAGGACCATAGCTACCTTGACGACCCTAAATTTAAATAAATACAGCAAATCAGTATGTAAGACGAGGAAGAATTCTTAAAATTTCTTACTCTATCACCGGAAGGACCAGGAAGACCTTTTTCACCTTTCATACCATCACGACCAGGTTCACCTTGGAAACCGACTTCGCCCTTTATGCCAGCTGGGCCAGTATCACCTTTGTCACCCTTTTCACCACGTTCGCCGCTGTACGTTTCTTGTCCAGTCAATTTATGTTTGCGAGCAGGTTCACCCTTTTGACCCTTTTCACCTTTCTTACCGGGTTGAGGACGAGCAAAGCAGGGAGCACCCTTTTCACCCTTTTGACCACGGTCACCACGTTGACCAGGAGGACCATATGCACCAGTATCACCACGATCACCCTTGGGACCAATAGGACCCTCGGGACCAGGATTACCAGAACGACCAGCAAAACCAGGTTCACCCTTCTCACCCTTAGCATAATCACCATTTTCCTTAGCAGGTTCACCTTTTTCACCCTTAGCACCGGGTTGACCAGGATAACCACGAGGACCAGTCATACCGCTGAGACCGGTAACACCAGGTAAACCTTTTTCACCATCACAACCGTCTTTACCAGGAATACCAGGGGCACCGGGATTACCAGCAATACCCTGAATACCGGGCACACCAGCCATACCGGGAATACCAGCTGTACCACGTTCACCCTTAAGACCACGAGGACCTTCTGGACCGGGATCACCCTTTTGACCCTTGTCACCTGGAGGACCTTCGGGACCGGGATAACCAGGCATACCCTTGGGACCGGGAGCACCGATGGCACCTTGAAGACCACGGTTACCTTTTTCAGCAAAACATTTTGGTATGCAACCGACTGTACCGCTAGTACAATTTGAGGGTACTTGACCGGTACGGGTGGTTGTAGCGCTATCAATTACAGCATAACTATCATCAATGGGATTTCTGGGAGTTTCGACTTCAGGTCTATAATGTTTGGCGGAGTTATAGATAGCTCCAGTATCGGCAGTTTTCCAAAATTGCTTTAATAAATTAATACAAACGTGAGTTTTTTAACTATTTGGATTTGAACTTAACAAAATTAGAGTTATGGCTTTAGAATTGTATTTTACATTTTAATAAGATAACTAGGAACGAAGTTTTGTTGGATTTCATTCAGGTAAAATTTATTTATTTCAAAATGGGGGGTTTTTCTTAATTTGGTTTAAAATAAATTATTTAGTATTTCTACTTACAGCATTAATTCCCACTAACGCTCCAGCTAATACAGCGGCAAAAAGTAGCCTGAAATTTATAAGAAAAAAAAATAATTATGAATATTTAGGGATATGCCTAATATACAATTTTAACTCTATAAATTTCAGTGAAAACGTATAATGCCGATAAAGTTCTAATATTTTGAAAGAAATGTTTATACTGGAGTCGATTTAGCCATGTCTGAACGTGTGGATGTTGAAATCAGTTTTGAGAAGACTCCAGATATCTGCAAGATTCGAAACTTCAATAATTCTATCAGACATGCTTTTGGGAATAAGTCCATACATAACGGAGATATGAGCAAATTTCTAAACCACCACATAATAGTTTTCACATTCTTTTTTCAGCTATTTAAACGAATTTTGTCACGGTTTTCAACCATATAAGAATCGGTTCAAAATTTAATATAGCTCCTATACAAATTTAAGTAATCCCGCAAAATGGTATTATTATTGTTAATAATTCCCTCTATTACCACAAAATTATATAAAATATCAATAGAAGTTGTATTACTAACTAAAACCGGTATCCATAATTGACCATAGCTCCCATATAAGACCCTCTTCCGAAAATCAATTAAATGAACATAATTGATTAACATAACGTCATAAAATTTAACACTAATATGTTGGACGAATTATTTATCGAAATTTTTTCCGGATCGGCCCATAATTATTTGTCATAGCTTCCATATTAATAACTCATTAATTAATAACAATGTCGGAATGTAATATATTATATGACCCGATATCATTATTAGTTCATAAGTTATGTACATTTAAGCGATTTTCACAAGTGGACTTTATATAGAAGCTATGGTCAGTTATGTACCATTTCTATTTCTATGTATTAGATTTTCTTTCCTGATGTTAGATTTATATATGTAAAATTTTGTGTTAAGAAGTTTTGAACCGATTTAAATAATTATGAAGAAGGTCTTTGGGCTAAACTTGTTTAATTAGTTCTCTGAAAGAAATTTATCAAGAATGAAAGAAAGAACATAATATTTCGCTTATATATTCGTTATTTATGGACCGATTTTGCTGTTTTTAAATAGGAAACTTTTCAAAATCAAATCGGATAGCATTATTGAGGAATTGAATTTCAAATATATCTGCTGTCTTCAGAAAATTGCATCCCACTAAGTGGCCCCAAAGCACTTAAAGGAAATGGTCTTAGCTAACTTTTGAGCAAAAATATACAACAAAAAAGTCCATTTTGAAAAAATAGGGGAAAATTAAGTGCCAAATATTGAAAAAATTTTATTCTTGAGTTAAAAAATATTTTTTTTTTTGATAGAAATCCCATTCGCATCTCATTATGGGACTTAAAAGTCCTTCAAGGAAATTGTATAAGCTTTCTTTTGGAAAGAATAAAGAAATAGCTATCTGAACTCCTTTGGACAATTTTTGCTAGAACCAATAGGTGAAAAGTTACACTCATTGGAATTAAACCCTGTATGATCAAAATGTCCAACTTTGACCCCCTCTATGTAAGGCAGTTCTTGAACGATAGAGCTGAAAAATTGTGTCTGATCTACTATCCAATAATACTAACCTTAGTGCAAATTTCGTCAAAATCAAATTTTTTGAGTTGGGTCATTTGACATGAAATTCCCCATATATATAAGTATTTCCTCATATATCTATCTATATAGCTAAAAAAGTAATGTTTGTTCGTAATCGATAAGGTCCAAAACTACGGTAACTAAAAGGATAAAATTTCAAATGTGCCTTTCCGGGGTCGTGGGATGTGTTTCTGTGAAGCTAAACCGCAGGACCCAATTTTTCTAAATTGTAAGAGTTCTTAGATCCTTGTATGAAGAGAAATATGGGTTAAAATTACGACCGAAAACGCGGACCAGGTTCAGCTAGTTTCTTATAAACATATTAGGTTAGAATTTTATTAAAAAATTAATACCAATTTGAAATAAATGACGATTAGCTTGATTTTGGGTAGAGAGGTCCTTTATTAGAGCTTTAGTTAATGGTGGACCAACCACTACAGAGTTTGGCTGCACAATTTTCTTACAATAAATCATTTATGCATTTAGCTATATATGTCGATATTTTAAAGCTATTTATTGGCGACAAACTGATTTTTGAAGGAGGGGCATAATGCTAGGTCTAGGGTAAAATATGAATCTTGATATACATGTGTATGTATGTATGTAAGTATTTCTGTGTAAAATATGAGGAGAACTTGTATGCACCATATCTCAGTGAGTGATCTTAGTATGATCTATTTTATTGAAATTTTGACTGTTTACGGAAAAATGGGTTAGGTCTTCCGAGTCAAAAATATTAAGTGTAACAAATTTCATTGAATTATTTTAAAAATTGCGTCCTGTAGTTTGACAACAATGACAAATTATACGGACAGACGGGCGGACATAGCTTAATTAACTCTGAACATAATTGGTGATGTTGGGTATAAAAATAAATTTATTAAAAATTTAAAATTCTAATTTATCGAAAATTTTATTAAATAAAATTAAAAAAATATCGAATATTTAAATATATAAATGACTTATATAGATTTTATTTTGATTCGATCAGTTTGTTTTAAGTGAAAAGTTTGAGAAAATATTTTAAGAGTTTTCGTTTTTTTTTTAATACTCTTTAATTCAAGAGAGTTTTTGAGTAAGTCTCCTTTTCGTAAAGAATGACAAATTAAAGAGTTCTTTTTTTCAATTTAAGAGAGTCCACATAGAGAGTTAAAGTTGTTAAGAGAATTTCTCTTTATTTGAGTAAAGAGTGAAAAGTAAGAGTTTGCAAAAAAGAACACACATTTAAATTTAAAATATCTAAACAATTCTATTTGATTTAATATAAAATCGAAAAGGAAATCGGTTCAAAGGTGAGACAATATATTTTGAAAATTTTTTATTAACAATTGAATATTAAAAAGAGACAATTTGATATTTAAGCGTTTTTTTTTCAAATGATATTTAATGATTTAGTTGATCGTTTAGCTGATAGCTTTTAATACAAAAAAGTTTGGAATTGTTTAAACATTATAATAACAAAATGTTTCTAAGTTAAGAAAAAACTCTGTGCCCAAATTATGGCATACGATATCGATTGAAATCTCATTTGAATCTAAATGGAGATTTCGATCGATATCGTATCGGCCATAATTTGGGCCCTGTTTATGTGATCGTTCGTCATCGATCCTCAACATCTGTAAACTCTTCAAGCCTAGGAATTGTTTAAATGAAATTTTTATTAAAAGTCTGCAGTAGATTTTTATTAAAGTTAAATATTTAAACTTTACTTTTGTTAAAAATTATAAATAATATTTTTTTTTTTTAATTTATAAAAAAATGGGGAAAATAATTGTAAGAAATTTGTTTACAAATTATTTAAACTTTCAAATATTTGTAAATTATTCAACATGAAAAAAAATTTGAATGAAAATCTTTAATTTTTTTTAAAAAGTTTGCAAATTTTTCGAATTTAATATGATATTTTTAAAAATACAAAAATAATATTTAATTTTTTGTAATTTTAACAAACAAAAAATATTCAAAATTTTGAATATAACTAAATAATTTACCATAAAAAGGCAAAAAAATTGTCCAGAATTGAAATCAAAAATAAATAATTTTGAATTAAAATAAAATATTTAAAAAGAAAATTAAAATATTAAAAAAAATATTGAAAAAATTTTTAAATAATTTGAATTAAAAATAAAATTTTATTATGTTTTCAAAATAAATGAAGTCTATATTTAATAAATTCTGAAAGAATAAGTTTTGTAGGAAAATTTTGTTTCATAAACTTTTGGGATTGAAAACTAAATTCATACAATTTCGAAATATTTCATAATTACCAAATTTAAGTTTGAAGATTAAAGTTAAATTTTTCACTTAAAAAAAATTCTTTGCACAAATTTTCAACACATTTTTAAACAATTAAAAGATAAATATTTTCAAAACTTACCGCTTCCAGAGGGGCTCCATGATACCCCAATTTTGTATACGTATATATTAGTTTCCTTACAGATCCCGCACGGATTTTAATTAAAAAATATTATGTTTATAACCTCCTAAAATAAAAAAACATTAAAACACTTAAAGAAAAACTTTAACACTTTTTAAAATTTTCGTTAAAAATTACTTTATAAAGTTAGTTTCTTTTAACAAAATCAAAAAATTAAAAAAATAAAAAATTTTTTTTTTTTTTTCAAAAAAACCCCATCTACCCCCAACTTTTTGCACAAAAAAAGTAAAACAACAAAAGAGGGAAGAATGATGGATTTTTATGTTTTCTCTAAACTTATATATAAAGCGTGTCGATCTGACTTTATGAATCGACTAGAGCGTACTGATTTGCTTAGAATTTTTGTTTGAATAAAGCAAGTAATAAAAAAAACTGTTTAATTTTTTTTTTTTTTTTTTTTTTTTTTGATTGTTGTACGAGCAGAAGTAATGCTACTACTTACTTGCGAAGGCACAATACGACTAATTATAGTATAAATTCCAGTCAACAGTAAAGCATCTCAGACAAATAGAATACACGATCAACAAAACTGTTAGTTGTATTATTAAAAATGAATATATTGCTCAAATACAAAAAAGAAAATGAAGAACAAGCTGACAAAAATAAACGATGTTACACGATGTACTCGTACTTACTCTCATACTCATACACTACTCCTTTTACACATAAATCAGCATATGCATGAACTCGTATACAATATGTGTGTGAACACACACACACACACATCAGTAATCAAATCTTTAAAATGAATGAAAAACACGAACGATCACTTGTTTTCTTGTACATATACAGTTATTTACACATATTGACGACACTTACACTCACTCGTTTATACTCTACATAAGCCGTTTTTTTTTTGTATTATTATTTAAATGTTTGTTATTGTTTTTGTTTGATTATTATATAGTTTTTCATAAAAATATTTATACACACATAGATAGTTACTTGTATTATAATTAAAAAAAATGTTTTTTTATTAAAAAAATCTTCGTTTTTAAATTAATTTAATATTTTTCTTTCAATTCTTTTTTTCTTATATGTTTTTTTTTTTATTAATGTATGATAACTTTTTTGACTTTTTTTGTTGAGATTATGTTTAAATTTCAGTATTTATGAATTTTAAATTTTGAAATATCATTCCTGCTCGTGGTCATATTTGACACTTGTTTTATGTAGTTGTTTTTGTTTTTTTTTACATGCTTAATTTGTTTTTGTTATTGCTGTTAAATAGTTATTGTTGTAATTATTATTTTTTTAAATTATTATTATTATCTTTATAAGCTTTAAAACAAAATTGAGAACATACTTATTACATAGTCTGAGTGCATACTTTGTAGATTTGGACTTGTGAATTTCATGAAATCTCAAGCAGTCGTTTTAATTTTGTGCTGTTATCAAAGAATATTATACATTTATATATGTGAAATATAAAAAAAAATTAGAATTAATATGTATACTATTCATATTTTTAAATGTATGTGAAAATATAAATAAATTAATAAACTTAAGAAACTCATATACTATATATTTTCCTCTTAAATGTCCAAACCTTTTTTAAAAGATTAAACTTTCTAATTAATTCATATTTCACTTTTGCAATTAAGATCTGTCATCCTTATTTCAGTTTGAAATGTATTCTGTAGATAGGAATTTGAGATGAAGCATTACTCCATAGATAGATAGATAGATAGATGGATAGATAGATAGATAGATAGATAGATAGATAGATAGATAGATAGATAGATAGATAGATAGATAGATAGATAGATAGATAGATAGATAGATAGATAGATAGATAGATAGATAGATGGATAGATAGATAGATAGATAGATAGATAGATAGATAATAGATAGATAGATAGATAGATAGATAGATAGATAGATAGATAGATAGATAGATAGATAGATAGATAGATAGATAGATAGATAGATAGATAGATAGATAGATAGATAGATAGATAGATAGATAGATAGATAGATAGATAGATAGATAGATAGATAGATAGATAGATAGATAGATAGATAGATAGATAGATAGATAGATAGATAGATAGATAGATAGATAGATAGATAGATAGATAGATAGATAGATAGATAGATAGATAGATAGATAGATAGATAGATAGTAGATAGATAGATAGATAGATAGATAGATAGATAGATAGATAGATAGATAGATAGATAGATAGATAGATAGATAGATAGATAGATAGATAGATAGATAGATAGATAGATAGATAGATAGATAGATAGATAGATAGATAGATAGATAGATAGATAGATAGATAGATAGATAGATAGATAGATAGATAGATAGATAGATAGATAGATAGATAGATAGATAGATAGATAGATAGATAGATAGATAGATAGATAGATAGATAGATAGATAGATAGATAGATAGATAGATAGATAGATAGATAGATAGATAGATAGATAGATAGATAGATAGATAGATAGATAGATAGATAGATAGATAGATAGATAGATAGATAGATAGATAGATAGATAGATAGATAGATAGATAGATAGATAGATAGATAGATAGATAGATAGATAGATAGATAGATAGATAGATAGATAGATAGATAGATAGATAGATAGATAGATAGATAGATAGATAGATAGATAGATAGATAGATAGATAGATAGATAGATAGATAGATAGATAGATAGATAGATAGATAGATAGATAGATAGATAGATAGATAGATAGATAGATAGATAGATAGATAGATAGATAGATAGATAGATAGATAGATAGATAGATAGATAGATAGATAGATAGATAGATAGATAGATAGATAGATAGATAGATAGATAGATAGATAGATAGATAGATAGATAGATAGATAGATAGATAGATAGATAGATAGATAGATAGATAGATAGATAGATAGATAGATAGATAAATAGATGTCATCATCATCATAAATCAGGATTCATCATTAATTAATTTTCAATCAGATTTTTATACAATCAGCTTTCTGTCCAATTTTATGCGTGTCCAACTTCATGTTTTTAGCTTCAATAATTTAGAAAATTCGAACAGTATTAGTAAACTTAGGACACTGCGTGTTTATTCTATGTTTATATTGCTTAGTTTTATGTTTATAAGTTCATTATAATAGAAAACTTAAAAAGTACCAGTAAAAGAACGAAAAAGTACCAAAAGGTCCCATTTTATAGGTTCTCATTAACTCCTTTCTTCTCATGCTTAATTTCGTGTTTCTAGGATCAACATTATAAAAAAGTACCTGCTGAGAAACGAAAAACACCCCAATAGTATATATAATGTTACTAACCCCCAATTTCACCACCTCCAGTTATTGTTTAACTGGCAGTTATTCTTCCAATTAAGACAATTTTTGTATGAGATCTGTCAATATATCTTAAAGTTAAAAAATAACTATACTTTGTGAAAATGGGGGTAAATCTAAAAATTTCTCCAATTTTATTAAAATTGAGTCAATGAATTTGAATAAAATAGAATTTCCCGTTTTCCACCTTTTGGTACTTTTTTCTCCCTATTGAAGTAATAAACATTTTATTTCAAAAAGTCGAATTTGAAAAAAGTACCAGACACCTGTCCGTTTATTTTTTAAATGAACGACGATAAGCTTTAAACTGCTTTTGTACCTTTTCTAGTTTAGATCTTTAGCGTTTAGGCGGTGTGCTGATGAATCAGTCAGTCAGTGAGTCAGTAAAGTTAGAATTATATATATATATATATATATATATATATATATATATATATAGACTAATTTTCAACTATAAAGAAAAATCCATAACTAAATTTAAATTATTCAACGTGCCTAAGTTGTCGCAACTCTGCAATTAGCCAATACTACTCGTATTACGTGCTCTATAAGTCAAGGCAATCATACATACAATGTATAATTTTTTTTAAACTAAAGAAAAAATATATAATTGTGACATATTTATTTTTATTAATTTATTAATAAAAATAAAAAAACCCAAAATAAAAAATTCTACCATTATTTTTAACTGTCTTCTCCCTACCTGTTAAGGCACACTGAACGTATACGTAATGTGAAATATTTATTTTGTTTGTAAAATTTAGCGCAAAACAAAAAAACTAAAAAAGTAACATGTGAATGAGTGACTACATCTAAAATTATAGATGTCATCATCGTTTTCTTTTGAAATATATATTTATTAAACAGATAACAAACACTACTATTTTTTAATTGCTCAACAAAAACTATACAGGAATTATGTTCATAAAACAACAATATGAACAAAAATTGTGTGAAAAAATTTATATTTATGAAATTTTAGTAAATGTTTTAAAATTTTAAAATTTTAAAAATTTTTTTGTTGATCCAAAATATTTGATTTGAACCACAAAGATTGAACTGCTAAAAAAATAGGAGCCCGTGGGAAGGGAAAATTTTCGAAATTGTATTTAAAATGGGCAACGAAAAAATGCTACCAGACCTGAAATTTCATTCAAATATTTTTGGCTAAAGGCTATAATGATGCCTCCGATCTAAAAGTTTAAAGACCTAAAAATATCCCAATTTTCATCAACCCATTTATAGTTTCTCCAAATCGGCACAGTTTTGTAAAGACTTCTAATTAAAATGAGCCAAATCGGTTCATAAATAACGGAGATATGAGTAAAATTTGGATTCAAAATTTCATACATCATCCATGGTTTCATTATTAATAACTCAGTCTATTCACCACCAAATTTTGCATATATAAATCTTATATAGATAGAAAGCAATCCTATTACAAATGCTTTTAAAATATATAATATGCACTATCTTGTTCTTTTTAACTACTAAAAGGATCGTAGGATCTAAATAAACATTTTTACAGTATTTACGGTAGAGTTTAACTACAAAATATCTAAGTTAACATTTCAGTTTCAAATCAAAATATATTTAAATAATGTTATTAAGATGTAATTCAGAAATCTGTCTGCTAATTCTTTCTGCAATCACTGCATGCCAGAGATTAACACTTTGCTTGATATATCTGTCCAGGTTTTGGCCAGAAGTACCTCTCAGTTAATGCTAGATCACTTTTGTTGTTTTACTGTCTCTGGTTCCTCTATCCCACAGTTACATAGGTCTCTGCTTTCTATTGTAACGGTTAAAGTAGAAACAATATGATTCCAATATGATTAACTTCAGTGTAGATACTACTTACTTAATCAAAGCTAGATCTGATGTGTTATATTCTGAACTTCATTACATATTCATATATTCACATAATTTTCAAAATGTTTGTAAAATTTACTCCCCTAGTGTAAACTTTAAAACTGGCCCTTAAAGCCTCTCATTCTGAGGTCACGACAGCAGAGATGAAATGTTTTAAAATGGGTAAAACGGGCATGTCAGATTTGTAG